ACACACAGGCGCAGGCGACCATCTGAGCACCGACGGGCCTCGCGGAGCGCGCATGCGCCGGCTCCCCTATACTTCAACAGCGCTTCGGTCTTGCCAGGCTTCGTGTTGATGGCAAGGTGGAGGTTGCTAAAAATGCGAAACAGATTGCTGAGGAGAACGTCGATCGCTGTATCTAAGGCCGCTCCCGTGGAGGCAAGAAGAACAAAACATTCATCATCAATGAACGTAGCGTCGACCACCGGGGTGGGGTCATAATCATACTGAGAGGCCGCCGCTGGCGCCCAGAACAGGGTAGTGGGAACAGGGAGCTTTAAAACAATCCCCGCCTGTGAAAGCTCCCATCCCAAAGCATCCAAAGCGATGGCGTACACAGAGTTGAAAATGAAAGCTCCTAACTTGCAGCCCTGGCGGCCGCCAGTCTTCGTGCTCACTCGGGCGCTGGTGCCTGAGACACCGAACCACGAGCCTGCATGCAAAGATTGGCACAGTTCCGCCGCACCCTCATCAGCCCCCCACTGTCGCAGCAGGGGCCCGCGGGCGTCCAGGTAGCGGAGCATCCAGTCAATCGCAGGCTCCGCAACGCCGAGCTCACGCAGCGCCTGCGCTCGGTCAGCGGGCTCCTGCGGGCCCCAGCCGAAGACCAGCTCACGCACCACGCGGTCGAAGGCTTTGATCAGGTCCACAAATAGAAAACCAGGACGGACCACTGCCGCGCCTGCGCTACCTCCACCGCGAGGCGGACTAGGAGCGCGGCCTGGTCAGTGCCTACTTCCGCACGGCGCCAAATTGCGTGGGCGGGAGGCGCTGCTCGTACGCGGGGTCGAGCACCTCCTTGAGCCGCCCCGCCAGCGCCTTGCCAGCGTGATCTGCCAGAAGCACGCCTCGGCTGGCATCGGGATCACGCGGGTCGCCCTTCCTCTTGAAGACCTCCTGCATCCGGCCGCCGCGCCACTGCACGGGCCATGAAGCGTTGGCCACCACGCGGCGGTTGACGTCCGCGTATTTGCAGGCCACTGCTGCACCTCCAGCGCGGAGCGGCTCCGCCGGGATGCCGTCGTAACCACAACCCTTGTTGTGGCCCAGCCGCTTAAACGACTCATCGGTGGCGACAGGTCCCACATCCAGGCAAGTCGAGGAGGTGCGTTGAGGCCGCGGACGCTCCCGCATCTGCCCAGGATCAAGATTGCAACCGCCGAGAACGTCTCGAAAATGTTCCAGCCAACGTTGACGCACTGCTGCTGGGTCAGCGGTGACCGTGCCATCGGCCAAGAAGATACTCGGGTTGGGCCGGAATGAGCGGCCTGCCAGCGCACGTACCACTGCGTACGCCTGCCTGCTATCGCCATCCTCGAGTGAGGAGGACGCTGCCATGGCCAGCGAGTCGAGGAATGCCATCCGGTCCCGGTCCAACACCGGGCGGGCGGCGGCCTGCACACGAAAGATCATGGAATGCGCCACCGCACCCTGCCATCTAGCCCGCCGGGCAACACCTGCAGCGTCCACGGCTGAGCCGAAAAGAGCGAACAGTCGCTCCGCTGCCGTGGCATCGACTCGGGAGGGAAGCCATCGGCGCCACTGGAAGAAACATTCCGCCTGCTTCTGCAGCTTCTCCAGCTCCCAGCAGCGGTGGTGGAGGCGCCGCAGAGGCGCCACGTGCTGAATCAGCTCCCAAGCCTGTGGGCTGACCCAGCGTTGCCTCGGCTGGCGCTCGGCCTTCCCGAACGCCTCTGTTGCAGCCCATCGCACATACGTGTTCAGGAGCTCCACGTGGTCATCAATATGAGGAGCGGCGCCACTGGCACCACCGGCGCAAAGCTCCTGAACCCTACCGGCATCAGAGCCGGCGCGATCCAGGCCAAAATCTCCAGAGGCAGTGGCGGCGGGGCCACTCGCTCTCGGGTAGTCCGCCGTAATCTGCGGGAACAACCAAATCAGCTGCTGGAAATGCTCGCGCCGGGCCGGGACGCTCAAGTTCATCTTATTGATTTTGAAGCTAGTGTCCGGCACCTGGGTCACGACCATGGGCTCCAGGGCCGTCTGGAATTCCACTAAATTGTGGTCCTCCCATGCATTCATGGTCAGGTCGATGTCGTGGCTCGGCTCGCAATAGGCCACGCCGTGGAAGACCTCATTGGGAATCAAAACGTAGTCGATGCGAGAACGCGTGCGCTTCGATGATGTCCAAGTGTATCCGGCTGACGGCCACCAAGTGTTGGCCAGCATCAACGAATGGTCACCCGCAAACTCGCGAAGCATGCAGCCGTTGGAGTTCTCAGTCTCGGCGCCCTCCTTTCCGATCATCGGAGACGGCACCGAACCCACGCGGTCGGCGACAGCCCTACTCCAACCCAATCCCGCGAAGCCTCGCAAATCCCGCTTGATATGGTTTCATGTTGGGATTAGGCGATATGTGTTTTGTCCAGCTCGATTGCTCCTCAACATTCGGGCCTATACTAGCCCTTACTCCCCAGACATCTGGCTGCTCCAATTTGTTCGATGCGTGGGCCCCGGAGGTCTGGACCACATCCCTAGGGCCGTTTTTGCGTCCTGGGCGTTTTTTTCACGCTCCCCAGGCCCTGCGAGGACCCCCAGAGGCCGAAAACGGTCCAAAACCACCCGCTCCAATGTTTTGTTGGAGCGTCGGATCTCTGGGCCGTGCCCACGAGGACCTCCCAGGAAATGCCTCCTGACCTACCAGTTGCCCCTCTTGGCACCGCCTCGGCACCGCTCCGAAGCGCGCCCCGGCCCGGCCCCGCGACGCCCCTGCCGCCCGGAGGGGCAGGGGGGCTCCAAGCCGCAGGGAGACAAGAGCGGCTGCGGGCGGCGGCAGCGCAAAGGCGTGCGCGCGGGGCCACCTCTCTCTCATCCTCCTCCTCCTCCTCCTCCTCGTCCTCCTCCTCCTCCTCCTCCTCCTCCTCCTCCTCCTCCTCTCCTCCTCCTCCTCCTCACCTCCTCCTCCTCCTCTCTCCTCCCCTCCTCCTCCTCGTCCTCCTCCACCTCCTCCTCGTCTCCTCCTCCTCCTCCCTCCTCTCCTCCTCCTCCTCCTCCTCCTCTTCCTCCTTCTCCTCCTCCTCATCCTCCTCCTCCTCCTCCTCCTCCTCCTCCTCCGCGTTCTCCTCCTCCTCTTCCTCCTTCCTTAGGCATGCTGCTGGGCGCTCGCACATGCAGCGTCCGTCCTCCTCCCCCTTCTCTCCGCTGTCCTTCCCTCGAGCATCGTCACCGCTGTCCCCAGAAGACTTCTCTCCGAGAGCATCCGAGTTGATGCTCCTGGACGCCTCATCCAGACCGACACCGTCCAGAAAAAGCACCGCAGCAGACCCTTACGTACCGCACGCTGGTGCGGCACACTCTTCGCCGATGCCTGAGTGAAGGTGCCCCAGAGCGTGTGTGGAGGGCAGAAAATCCACCTCGATAAGAACCACCCCGACACGCGAGGCCGTTTAGTAAAAGCGCCCAAAGAAGGAACCAAACAGGGCAGGGCTGTTTAGTAAACGCCCAGGGCCATTCAGTAAACGCCCATTGTCCGGTCCGGGTGTTTTTTCCTCCCTTGAGTGTGGGCGTCCTGGGGGCCCTCAGGGGGGACCGAAAGGGCCCGCGGGGCACCTGCTCCTCCTCCTCCTCCTCCTCCTCCTCCTCCTCCTCCTCCTCCTCCTCCTCCTCCTCCTCCTCCTCCTCCTCCTCCTCCTCCTCCCCCCTCCTCCTCCTCCTCCTCCTCCTCATCCTGGGCCAGCCCAGTGTCTTTCGCCGCTGCGCCGCTGCGCCTCGCCCTCCGCGCCCCCGCCGCCCCCCGCCGGGCTCGGCGGGCTCGGCGCGGGGGGCCCCACGCCGCGGGGGGGAGGCGGGCGGCCGCGGGCGGCCGCACGGGGAAACGGCGCGCGCGGGGGGGGGGGGGCGTCCTCCCTCCCTTTAAGAAACCTCCCCTTAGCAAACCTCCCTTTAGTACTCCAGATTTCGTCATAAAAGCGAGGGGGTCTGGACCCTCCAAGACAAGCCATTTCAGACCTCCCCCGCGGGAGAACCCTCAAAAACATCGTCCCCAGACCCCCCCAGGCCCTCCAAGATAGCCTGGAAGAGACCCCCCCCGAAATGAGACCCCCCTCCCTTCATTACGAAATCTGGAGTAAACCTCCCTTTAGGAAACGGCGGCGGTGGACAAGCCTCCCTGTCGCAAGCCTCCCTTTCAGTGGAAACGGCCTGGGACCGAAGCCGACGCACCTGGACCCGCAACAGAATGACGGCCGCGACGCCCTCTCGCGAACCGACAGCGGCCAATTCGCGAACCGACGTGTCAGGGTAGGAGGTCTGTCCACCCCCGACCCATGAGCTCCCCCCGCTGCGAAAAAAAGGAAGAAGGAGAGGAACAACAAAAAAAACACGGCGGAGAGTTCCTGCCCAGGGATCCGACGCTGCCGCCAGAACACTGGAGGGCGGGCGGTGGCGGGCCGTTCTCGGCCTCCAGGGGCGCTCGCCGGGCCTCGGGAGCGTAAAAAGAAGGGCCCGGGAGGCAAAGCTCGCCTCTCCTCCTCCTCCTCCTCCTCCTCCTCCTCCTCCTCCTCCTCCTCCTCCTCCTCCTCCTCCTCCTTTCCTCCTCTGTGCAAGTCCGGCTGCGCCCTGTTCTGACGGGGCTCGAAGATGCCACAAGAAAAAGACACTAGGGAGTGGTCCAGACCTCCGCGGCCCACGCATCGAAGTCTGTCGAAGATTGCAGTCCCCCACCTTCGGCCGATGATGGTGGCAGATCCGAGGATCCCCCAGGAGGAGACCCAGGAGGAGACAGGAAAGCTCGTGCGATTACCCCATGTGACATGTGCAGACACTAACGCGATCTATGTCGCATGACGCGTGCGAAATGGCATGACCGGTGTGCCCCAACACGTGTCGTAAGACCACAGTCGATGGCGTGATCCTCCACGCGACCAGCGAGCTCTTCGCCGCAAGCACCCTGCGACGTGGTAGAATGCCACGTTCGCAATGTGAAACCAGCGCCTACGCGTACAGTCTTTGGTGTCCGTTCCATGGGAGCCTGATTCGGACTGGATTTGGAACACACTTGGGACCAGATTCGGACCATATTTGGACCCGATTCGCCCCTTCACAAGGGAGACGGGAAGAGCGAGGGGGAACAGGAAGGGCGAGGAGGAGCAGGACGAAGGGCTAAATGCGGTTCACATACGGCCCCAATGTAAAGAATGCTGATTTCAATGTCGCCGCCCAAGGCTCCCATGACCAGACATCAAACAAATCTGTTTTGGGGGACCATCGCTGGAGCATGTTACTCCAGGTGGTCCCGTGTCGTTTGCAGCACGCGTCTATATTCGCATGGGCGCTGACATCGACACAAAGCGGCGTCCATTTGCGCCGCAAGTCGATGCGAATTGAGGCAAGGAGGGTGAGCAAAACCCGTGCGGTAACTCGCGGGTAACAAGGAACACGGGGCAGAGGAGGAAAAGACGGTAACAGAGGGAAAAACGGAGGACGATGCAGAACCCTGAAACCTGAAGCTGCGAAACTTGGGGATCCCAAAACCGTGTGGTGACAGACCGTGCGGTGACCTCGGAACCCCAGGAGACCTCACCGCACGGTCCGTCACCGCACGGTCTTGGGACCCTGGCGGCCCCTGTCGCCCGAGACATCCTCGGAGAGGGACTTGAGTCCCAAATACGTGCGGTGACCCCGAATCCCCACCGACTCACCGCACGGTGTGGTCACCACCCCGTTTGGGGGCCCTCGAGAAACACAGGCGACGTCGCGACAAAATCGCGACCGGAGCCCCAGGACCCCATCGTTCTGCTACCTCTGTAGCGCCGGATCGATCTGAGATGGCCCCGGGGCCGGAATCTGACGAGCACGCCTGGCGCGAGACAGTTGCCACGCCCGGAGCACAAGCGGAGCAGAAACAGGAACGGGTGCAGGTTCTGACGTAAGGTGGCATCAGCGGGGCTTGAAAAGCAAGGCGGAAATTCCAAGCCCCACTTACGAATTTCCCCAATGTAGGGCGGATCCGGAGTCAGGGTAGAGTAAGACCAGGCTCCAGGCCTGGATCTGACGGGCACGCCTGGAGTGAAAGAGTCGCGACGCCCGGAGCACGAGTGGAGCAGGAGCTGGTTCTTGCATGCCAGAAACAGGAGACTGGTCTTGAACTCAACACAAAAACAGGAGACTGGCTTTGAATTCACAGTCCAGGGGCAGGTTACGACGCGACAGTGCAGGATCAAGGGTAAGAGTAGGCTCCGCCGCACGGCCGCAGACGGCCCAAGCAGATCCGAACAGCGCGCCCGTCATCGCGAGACCTCTTGGCCCCTGGGGAGGGGGCAGCGTCCTGGTGGGGCGGAGAAGGGGAGGACGGCGGCACGAGGAACGTAGCGCCCAGATCTCCGACAATATACATAAATATATGAATGTAAATACATACATATATTGCCCATTTGAGATCTCCAGTGGCCCGCGGGTTCCCAGGGCCTGTTCAATAGGCGCTGTTCAATCAGCAGATCTCCGACAATAGGAGCTGTTCAATAAGAGCAGATCTCCTGTTCCCAGGAACAGATCTCCGACAATAGGAGCTGTTCAATCACGGCGCGCTTCCTCGATGTCGGCCTACTGGGGGGGCTTCATCGGGCCCCGGGACCGTCGCAACTGGGCAATCTGGCCCCAGGGAAGGGTCGGGATCCCTTTGGCCGCGGTATGACAAAGCATATGGAACAGCCCCAAGAACCCGTTCTGAACAAAAAGGGGGAAGAGTGAGGGTCACCTGTTTATCCATGGCACTTGGGTCGGGCTCCGTCGCCAGAGTGCGACCGCAGCCTCCATATATGGGGGCTGCGTATACGAGACAGCGCAGGGCGGGCGGGCGGAAAGCTGGACCCAAAAGGCTGCGGCCTGGAAGAGACAAGGCAAGGGAAAAAGAGGAGCACCGTCACCCCATTGAAGCTTTCACGAGTGAAGGGCGCCTGTTTTTCCATGGCGCTGGGGGCGGGCTCCGTCGCCAGAGTGCGATCCCAGTCCCCCGCACACTGACGCGGAGGTACACCCTCCATCCCGGGAAAGAACTACCAGGCCGCCCGGTGGGCCAGCCGCTAGAACATTCAGATTAGCGGGTCGGGGCACGGCTTGCCCGTGCCTGTCGCAACGCTGCGAACCCCATACTGCATGCGCAACCTGGCGAACAATGACGACAAGAGCCCCCCAAAACAAGAGGCACGACACTGCACAATGCTGGCTCCGCCTGCCGCCGAAGCCTCCAGCCCGGGAGGGGTAAGCTCAGGTCGGGCATGTCCCCCTACAGGCGGATTTTGGACGAGCCGACAAAGTGGTCAAAAACGGCCAAGCATAGTCGAAAAATCGTCCCCTGGCTATTTCTGAGTGCTCCTCCTTTAGAGGGACAGACGCGGCTGAAGGGTAAGCCCGTCCTGGGCGGGGGGGGGGCGGGCGCACGCGGGGGGGCGCGCAGACAGGCAGACGGCCCCACCTTCTGCGCTGCCTCCAGGGGACCTCCGGCAGGGTGCAGCGCACCCTGCGTGTTCCCCCACCGCTTCCCGACGCCGCCACCTTCGTCCTTCCACGTTAGGAGGAAGCAAAAAAAACATCACTAACATAAACCTTTGGCGCTCCGCGCGGATTTCTCGGATTCGCGCTGGACCCCCCTGCCTGGCGCGCAGAGCGCACCAGGGGCGGCGCTGGAGGCGCCGCCAGGGGGCCCAGGCGCGGATCCAAGAAATTCGCGCGAAGCGCCAACAGTTTATGTTTACGTGTTTTTTTCTTCCTCGAAACCTGTCGGCGCCCCCGTGCGGTAAGCTGGCACCTGCGAGGAGATCGCCGCCGCCAGTCCACGCCGGGGCTCGTGGGCCTCCCCCAGAGGCAGGCGTGGAGGGCTCCCGTGGCCCAGCGCCCACGCCTCGTGGGCTTCTCCAGGTCGGGGACCGCGTGGCAGATGGCGGTGTCTCGCCCGAGCCGCAGGGAGGGGCTCCCGGGGTGAGAGGGGTGGGCCCCGACCGCCAGCTCGGCCCGCCGCAGCAGGTCGGTGATGTTCTTCCTCTGGGTCGGAGCCCCCTCTGCGCCCCTGAAGACAGTGGCGTCCCTCCGAACCCACCTTCGGGGGGTGGGCTACACGCAAGGTAGGCAAGAGTGACTTTCGGTGCGCAGATTTCGGGGGGCCGCGGGGGGAGGCCAACTCCACGCGCCCAAGACGCTACTAGCGCATCGCGTTCGGCGATCGGGAGGCCCCAGTTGGCCCTCACCAAAGGTCAGTCGAGGGGGGCCAGGTTCTGGAGTTTCTCCAGGGAGCGGACTGGGCACAACTGGCCACCAGTGGTGTGGTGGTCACGGCAGGACCTGAAGTTGCACTGATGCGTCTCGCTCCCCTTGATGACGAGGATAACCTCATCTGCGCCCTCGAAGGTGGCGCAAGCCAGGCCCTCCTTCCTCGGGGTGGCGTCCTCTTCTGGGACGACCCCCTCCTGCGCCCAGAGCTTGTTGGGGTCTCCTGAGTACTCCGAAGCCCGTGGAAAAGAAGAAGAAGAAGAAGAAGAAGAAGAAGGCCACAGAGATCGCGGCCAAACGGGCCACGTCCTCGAGCTCCCCGGTGCCAACAGCATCTCCACCGTTACCGGGTGCGTCCGGCTCGGCATGGCGCCGAGGCGCTGGACCCCCGCCAGCGCCAGCAAGACGCGACCAGCCACCTCCAGGGAGCCGGGGTATCCAGGCAAGAGGTGATGGCAGCGGATAACCGTGAGCTTCGGACGGACAGTACCCACCGCCCTCTTGGGGCAGTGCGCGAGGCGCACTGCGCAGTCCAGCAGCGCATCCTGCAGATACCTTACAATGTGGTGGCGTGGGCCCGCGCTCGGCAGCTGCGAGATGGAGAAGAATCTACGACGAGAGGCAGCATGAATTGCTCAGCCTCGAACGCATTGTGTGCCCCGTGCGCTTCAGGACACAAAAAAATGGCGACGCCTTGGTTACGCTGGTGCCGAATGTCTGCGGGCACCTTTCCACGTAGACTCCGCGTCAGTAGCTCGGCAACGAAAGCGAACAGACACTAAACAGCGATTAGCTTTCGCCATCCGAAAACAACCGCTCAACAGAGAAAAACACCCGAAGGTCCTTCGCCATGGCCGTCTTCGGGCCTCGAGGGGCCATCGCTGGCCATCGGGGAACGTCCAAGAGCGGCCCAGGACCCAGAGCCGGCCCTGCTGGGAGGGCAGTGGTCCAGGCCTCCGGGGCCCACGCATCGATGAAGAGTGGGCAGCCACACGTCTGGGCTTCCACCGCCTCCGTCTTGCCCTCCCATCGCCAAGACGGGAGGCGGGATCCGGCGGGGAGGCCCCCAACGAGAGAGTGAGGGGGGCCCTGGGACCCACAAAGAAACAGACGCAGGTAACCGGATTCCCCATATACTCCCGTCGTTTCTGGGCTTTTGTCTGCCCCCCCGCCTCGACATCCTCCTCCTCCTCCTCCTCCTCCTCCTCCTCCTCCTCCTCCTCCTCCTCCTCCTCCTCCTCCTCCCCGCTTCCCATCTTTTCCCACATGTTCTGGGGAAGCGACGATGCATTGTGTCTGTGGGTTCCTCCTTGCCCTCCCGAGAGAGGGGGGCGCCCTGCCCGCGGAGGCATCCGGGCGGTCGCCCGCGGGGGGGGCCCGGGCTGGCGCCCTCTGGCTCTCGCCAGGCAGGGGGCGGCCTCGCCCTCTCAGGGCCGCAGACGGCGGCCTCCTCCTCCTCCTCCTCCTCCTCCTCCTCCCTCCTTATTTTCTTCTTCTTCTTCCTCCTCTCCTCCTCCTCCTCCTCCTCCTCTCCTCCTCTCCTCCTCCTCCTCCTCCTCCTCCTCCTCCCCCTCTCCTCCTCTCTCCTCCTCCTCTCTCCCTCTCCTCCTCCTCCTCCTCTCTCCTCCTCCTCCTCCTCCTCCTCCTCCCCCTCCTCCTCCTCCTCTCCTCCACCTCCTCCTCCCCCCTACGCCTCCGCCTCCGCCTCCGCCTCCGCCTCCCGCCTCCGCCTCCGCCTCCGCCTCCGCCTCCGTCCGCCTCCGCCTCCGCCTCCTCTCCGCCTCCTCCTCCGCCTCCTCCTCCTCCCCTCCTCCTCCTCCTCCTCCTCCTCCTCCTCCGCCTCCGCCTCCTCCTCCTCCTCCTCCTCCTTCCTCCTCCTCCTCCTCCTCCCCTCCTCCTCCTCCGCCTCCTCCCTCCTCCCTCCTCCTCCTCCTCCTCCTCCTCTCCTCCTCTCCTCCTCCGCCTCTCTCCTCTCCTCCTCCTCTCCTCCTCCTCCTCCTCTCCTCCTCCTCCATCCTCGTCCTCGTCCTCCTCCTCCTCCTCCTCCTCCTCCTCCTTACCTCCTCCTCCTCCTCCTCCTCCTCCTCCTCCTCCATCCTCGTCCTCGTCCTCGTCCTCCTCTCCTCCTCCTTCCTCCTACCTCCTCTCCTCCTCCTCTTCCTCCTTCCTCCTTCCTCCTCCTCCTCCTCCTCTCCCTCCTCCCTCCTCCTCCTCCCCTCCTCCTCCTCCGCCTCCTCCTCCCTTCTCCTCCTCCTCCTCCTCCTCCTCTCCTCTCCTCCTCCTCCTCCTCCTCCTCCTCCTCCTCCCTCCTCCTCCTCGCCTCCCTCCTCTCCCTCCTCCTCCCTCCTCCTCCTACTCTCCTCCTCCTCCTCCTCCTCCTCCTCCTCCTCCTCCTCCTCCTCCTCCTCCTCCTCCTCTTCGAGGCTCTTGAGCACGGGCGCGCGTGCGGCGCGAAGACCAGAGCAAGGGCCTTGGAAAGGCCATTCTGAAGCTTTCCGAGCGTGGCGCGGCCAGCGAAAGTGGCCGAGGATGGGCCGAGGAGGCAAGGATGCAAGGGTACCCTTGGGAAGGGTGCCCATCCTCACCATGGGGGTTGACTGTAGTGGTGGTGCCCGAGGGCGAGGAAGCTGGCGAACACCGAGACCACGCTGGCCGCGCAGGAAGCGATGGCCATCGGCGTGGGCTCTGGGGTCGCGTTCACCCCCCAAGACAGGCTCGAGCCCAGAAGGCTGCGGCCCGAAAGAGGAACGGCAACGGCGAGAGAGGGGAGCACCATCACTCCAGCGGGGCTCTTGCCTTGTTCAAGCGAACACGAGCATTAACAGAGGACGTTAGTTGGGGGGGGAGAAAGGAGCAGGAGTGCAACAAAATTGGAAACGGAAGGTGAGGAAGCAAGAAGGAGAGGGTGAGAGGTTACCTATTGGAGGTGGGAAGGATGAGGGAGGCGAAGGGAGGAGCGGAGGACAGGGGAGACGTGGGGGGGATAGAAGAGAGCAAAGGAGGGGAAATGGGAAAAAGGGGCGGAGGGGAAGGAGTGAGAGAGGGGGGGGAGGCGGTGCCGCCGAGGGCGCGCGTTGTCCGCAACGCGCGGCGGATGCCCAGCCGAGAGAAAAAACACAAGCAGGTCAGCAGGGGCCTGTCCTCACAGAGACGAAGGCAAGACGAGAACAAGCTCGGATGAGGACGAGTCGGGAATATCCGAGGGCGGGCGGCTCTGGAAAACGCATCGGGCGCCGCGGCCCCAGTGCGTTCCAGGACGGTCTGAGAGCTTTCCACAACGCTGTTGAGCGACCTTCGAGTAGGGGATCACAGCACTGCTGTATCCCAAGATGATGTTCCCGTCGAGTAGGCAAAACATGCGCAGAATGCTCGCAGATCTACGGGGCATACTGCGCACTTCTCGTAGATCCGAAGAAGACATCAATACTTGGGGCAAATCAAATTTGCAGTCGATCACCGACCATCGACCTCCACCGTCCGCACCTTCCGAGCGGCAGGTGTCGCGCAGCGACCGCCGCCAGCGCGGTCGCAGTTGCGGCCGCCGTCGAGGTCGCGGCGGCGGACTCGGCGGTTGCAGCGGCCGCAGCGCGACCGCACCTGCTGCGCGGAAGGCTCGGACGGTGGAGGCCGAGGGCACTCGAGATTCGTCGTCGTCCCAGGCCTGGCACTGGGTGGGGCCTGCCCCCCTACAGGCGGATTTTGGAAGAATAACCCAAGAATAATCAAAAAAATGCGCCCAAAGTGCTGGAAAAAATCCGGAAGAGCCCCCACCTATTATTTTGGACTGTCTTTGGACATCCCCTCTGTACAGAGGGACAGGCCCGACTTACGCCTGGCAGGGGCTCGTCCTCTCTTCCCAGACCCCCGACGTTATCATTTTTCCATAACCTCGACCCCCAGAGGTTTCAACCTATTCCCTGGGACCGGTTCTTCATCCCGAGTCGTTTTTCGACGGTCCCGAGGCCCGGTGAGGGCCCCTAGAGGCTGAAGATGACGAAAAGCCTCCCGCCGTGATTTTTGTCACTGCTCGAGGGGGGTCTGGGTTTGGCGTCCCTGGACGTGTGCCGTGGCCGGACCCCGCGGCCCCCGCGCGGCTCCGGGATCCCCCCGGAGGCCCCGGGGGGCCGCCCGGGGCGCGCCCTCGGAGCTTGTTTTTTTTGTTTTTCTGTAACTCTAGCAAGTTTACTTGCATGGGCGGGGGGGGGGGCTGAACCTGAAGTAAGCCGCAAACGACTTGACGTGCTGAAGTCACGCAAGTCGAAAGGCACTTGCACGCTCGTATTCGATAGAAGAGGGGCGAGCCCAGACCCCCGACGTCATGATTTTTTCATGACGCGACCACCAGAGGTCCGGACCTATTTGCCGGGACCGGTTTTTCATCCTGAGCCGTTTTTTGACGCTCCCGAGGCCCGGTGAGGGCCCCAGGAGGCCGAAAATTGGGAAAAACCTCCCGTCGTGATTTTTTCATAACTCGAGGGGGTCTGGGTGTGTTGGGGGGGGAGGGGGGCGAACGCCATGCAAGCAAACTTGCCCGAGTCCAAAGAAAAACCGGCTCTCGCGGAGGACGGGGGGCCCCCGCCCGGAGACCGCGCGGCCGCCCTGCGCCCGGGCGCGCTCGCCGCCGCGGGGCGCTCCCCGCGTCGCGGGGGGCCCCCCCCAGACATGATCGCGTCGTTAAAAAATCAGGACAAAAGGGTTTTTGGCTATTTTCGGCCTCGGGGGGCCCTCGCCGGGCCTCGGGACCGTCAAAAAACGACTCAGGACGAAAAACCGGCCCCAGGGAAAGGGTCGGGACTTCCGGGGACGCCGTTCTGAAAAAATCAGGACGTCGCATGTCTGGGCCGACGCCTCGCCCTCGGCCGTCGTGCGTCCCAGGAGCCCCCTCGAGCCATGGAAAAAAAAAATCACGACGCCAGCGGGAGGTCCTTCGTCCCGTTCGGCCTCGGGGGGCCCTTAAGCCGGGCCTCGGGGCCGCCCGAAAACGACTCGGGACGAGAAGCCGGTCCCAGGAGGGGGTCGAAACCTCTGGACGTCGACGTCATGAAAAAATCATGACGTCGGGGGTCTGGGGTGCATGCTATGCAGGGGGCGGGGGGGCCAAGGACACAAAGAACTACACACAAAGCCCAAGATTCCCACTATTTTTCCATATGTTCTTGGTTTTCGTCTCCCCCCCCACTTCCCACATGTTCCCAGATTTGCCTGGGAGTCGACGATGACTTGTGTCTGTGTGTCGTTTCTTCTCCTGAAAGAGAGCGCACCGTAAACAGACCCTTTCGGAGGTCCGCCTAGAGTTAGGTCGGGCATGTCCTCCTACAGGCTGTTGGGCGAAACATGTTATAACGATAACCCAAACATGCACCAACATATTCAAAGCATACTGAACAAATCGTCCCCTGGCTATTTTGTCCTACTGTATTTCCCCAATCAGAGCTTGCCTCTGTAGGGGTCCTATAGCGGATTCATATGGTTAGGTTAGGTTTGCCGCCGATTTTCGCCGCACGCCCGGGTGCCCGGGTGCCCGGGGGTGCCCGGGTGCCCGGGGGTGCCCGGGGGTGCCCGGGTGCCCGGGTGCCCGGGGGGGGCCCGGAGGTGCCCAGGGGTGCCCGGAGGTGCCCCGGGGTGCCCGGGTGCCCCGGGGTGCCTGGGTGCTCTATCGCCGTCTAGCCCTATAGCTCTATATAGCCCTATATCCCTATAGACCCATAGCCCTATAGCCCTATAGCCCTATAGCCATATAGCCCTATAGCCCTATAGCCCTATAGCCCTAATAGCCCTATAACCCTATAGCCCCATAGCCCTTATGCCCTATAGCCCAGTCGCCCTATAGCCCTATAACCCTATAGCCCTTATAGGCCTATAGCCCTATAGCCTAATTGCCTTG